CCCTTAAATGAAATATCTACTTTGCAAGTATTGCAAGTTGCCCTGTTGTCATCCGTTCTCGTAAAGTATAACCAAACTTTTGAGCTTTTGAGCCGCCATGTTTCCTGCCAGGTAAATGACGCTCCGCAACGTGGTGACGTCATTCGGGGCGACTGGAATCGATAAGGGAATCGTTTGCAAAAATGGCAAACAATTCCAAGGAATTGAAACAGTGGGAACCGGTTCTCAACAAGAACCGGTTTTCGATACCCATCCCTAGTCAGAAGGAGTTGCACTGTCTAGATCTAGAGAAAGCAGGATGACAGATGAGGTCAGGCGGGAATCTCCGTGGATTATAGCTTTTATAGGGAGCAGGTGGAGGTATGGACAGAATAAGTGTGTGTGAATAAGAGGGAGGCAGGTGTAGCAGTAAAGACACACATAGCAGAGGTAGTGAAGGTGAAGAAGAGAGCGCAGGCACGGTGGAGTGCATGGAGACGAGTATCGATGAATAAACTGTACAAAGATGGTGACAATGAAGCTACCAGGAAGGAGAAAAAGTGGATGACCTCAGAGAAGATTTGTGGATGTAGTGAGGGAGGACATGAGGAGGATTGATGTGAAAGATGAGCAAAGAGTAGGTGGATGATTTACTATGGCGCCCTCTGGGAGCAAGTGAAAGAAGAAGATTCTTTCGATTATATGTAAAAACAAACAAACAAAAAACCAAAAACCAAAAAAAACCCTAACCAAAACACAGCAGGCTACTAAGTCAGTGTGTTGTATAATAAGAAACAATAGCAACATAAACTAGATCTGCATCGTTCATATAGCCCTGCAATGATTCATGTCAAATAAGTTTCCTTTTTTAATTTTTAATTTTTCTTTCCAAGAGATCATTTAATTAATTCTGCCTTTGGGTGACACTGAGAGCTCTTTTTTAAGTATGATGCCAAACGCCGTATGTCTCTTCAAACTTTTAAGCCCTGGTCCGTTGCACTGGGTGTAACTTTGCCCCTCAAGCATCTTTCATGAATATCACAAAGGTTGCAAGCCCTTTTCAGAAAGGGAGCTGCGAGTGGATGAGAGGAAAGTTTAAAGTTCAAGCAGAGAGACAGAGCGAGGGGAAGCCCTCGGGCCTTTTAAAGATGCTCCAATGTTCAACTTATCTACTTGCTGTGGCAAACAGTGAATACCTGCCAGAAGCTTTTAGGGCTGGAAAAAAAAATAAAAGCATGGAGTGATGTATATGGTGCTGCCCCCCCCCCCCCCCCCCCCATCATGGCTTATGCTGCACTTTTTTTAAATTCTGAAAAATCTAATTAGTGAAGAAAATCTACAAATGCTTCACTCATAATGTTTCTCCTTTGATGTTCTGATGCTCTGAGACTGACAAGACTGAGAATCCTGTGAAGTAGAAAAGATATAAGCAGGCATTTAGTGCAGAGATGAGCTAAGTGAGATCAGTGGATCACAGTAATTAGATGCCGTACGTAGGTTGTTTGATGCAGTGTCCTTGGTAGCTTGTTTAATCGCTGATGAGTTCCTTTAGCCTGTGAGTTCATGCTCATCCCCGTGCTACTCTTTAATGAAAAAGAGATTTCTATTTTATTTCCTTCTTTGCCACAGACACAGTCTAGTCCAAGTTTTTTTTGTTTCTATTTGTTACTTCTCCTTTTAAAATAAACCAAATGTTTATTTTATTTTATTTTCACTTGCTACACACGGGACAGACATGACTGGGGGAAAGAAAAAGGAGAAAGAAAGAGAGGTAGGGAGAGAAAAACAGCGGGGAAGAGGAACGGTGATAAAGGGCAAAATCCCAAAAACCAACAAAACAAACAGACAAAAAATACATATATCAATCACCTGGATCACCTGTTGAGAAAGAAAAAAGAGAAAACGAGCAAAAAAACAGATCAATATAATAAAAAACATCATTGCGATGATCTATTTGAATATAACAGTAAATACTAAATATTGAATATTATTGTGCAGCACGTAGGATCGACAGTGCTCAGTGTGCTTTGAGGTAGGAGCCAAAAAGGGTGTAGTTTGTGTGTACACCTGTGAGCATGAGCGCGCTTGTATTTAAAAGGTTCCTTCATGCAATGATCTGCTAGAGGGTGTGGGGAGCCACAGCCCCGTCCTCCAGGGCATGAAGCAGGTATGGAGGAGATCCAGGCTCCAGACATCCAGAGGCCCCCAGACCACAAGAGACCAAGGAAGACCAACGGAGGGGCAACCGTGCCACTCTCCCGGAAAGAGCTGAGGAGAGCCCCAGATGAGGGGTCACTCAGCAGCCGCGGAGCAGAAGCCAGGGGGAGTTGCAGTGACGCGCCCGTGAGCTCCGCCGACAGTGACCGAGCCCCAGGCCGAGATGCCGAGGGCACCCCACCCAACGAAGGGGCCCGAGTGAGCCCCAGGCTCCAGGCCCCGACAAGCAGCCACTAGGAGTGAGCTGGTGCATACCAGACGCCCATCCCCCGACACCAAGAACCACCAATGCATGAATAGTCCAAGTTTCTATCTTCTTTTGAATGCATGCAGACGGCTTTAAGAGACTTTCAGAGAAGTAACTTTGCTTTCTTGTAAAGAACTCTGCAGCCATTGTCTCTCAGAGAAGAACTCTCCTGACTGATTCTAATTATAGGCTCCTCTGGTGTGGCAGTGACAACGCTCTCTTGTTTAAATTCCAAATTATGAAAATGAACACAGAGCTCAAATATAGCAGCAATATCAAACAAACTGATGAATGCTGTCACCGTGACAGGCAGAGAAAATGATTCACACAGAAGTGTGCAAAGCTTTCTGGTCTGTTCTATTTCATTCTACTGGGCCTTTTGTCGACGCGCCGCAGGAGGGCGCGAACGTCTCTCTTTCGTCTGGCGTCAACGGTCTCCCAGCAACAGCCAGGCTCGAGCTCGTCTCAATCGACAGCCGCTGAGCGCCGTCAAGCCGCACGGACACAGCCAGGCCCTCGCGGACAGAGTGGGGTGTTGCCTACAAAATAAAAGGCAACTGAGGTTAGGCGTGTAGTCGCCCAGCCTGACGGTGCTGGATTCTGCTGTCCCTGTTTGCTAGTTTGGATAAATGGCAATGGAATAAAATGTGAAATTTCAAGTTGGGAGGCTATTTTTAATGCTTAAGTAGCACCTCAAAGCAAAAAGCAAGAAAGATAATTAGAAAAGTAAAAATGAAATATTAACCCACCAGTATTCATATGTATCGACCTCATGACTGCAGTGAATTGTAAAGATGATCGGTGAGGCAATTCAGGCATGATCGAAGGTACTGACACATCTGACCTTTATCCCCATCTAACAACGATTTGACTTTATAATTTTTTCAGATTTTTTTCTATCAAATACCTCCCATTTGATTTTTTTCTTTCGTTTACTTTGAAAAACAGCGACCGGAAGTGGGACATTTCCCCCACACTTTCCGACTTACGCTCGGGTCTGCTCAGCTGCAGCCGAACAGACGAAAAACCATGGAGCGCAACAAGACGCGTTGGAGAGAATCACCGAGCGGGCGCGGAAAATGTCAGTTTCAGTCGTGTTTGTAAGTTACTTCCAGCGAGAGTGGACAGACTTTTGGAACATCAGCAGGTGGAGAGTGATTCTTCGTTTTCTTTTTTTTCTCCAAGCGTGCGTAAACTGATTGGAGTGGTCGGGGAAAGAAAATAGCCTTGGAGTGTCCAGCGGCTACCAAAGAACGGGAGGGAGGCTAGTTAGTTTTTAAAACAAGCTCTGAAGTGAAGAAGAGTGCCTGCTGGATAGAAAGGTGGATTGGTGGATAGCGTTTGGAGAATGCGCGCTGCGTAAAAGCCCCCATATCGCTTACATGTTGTTATAAGGAACAATTACTTCTCTTTGAGGAAACTGTGAGCGGAGACCTCCATAAAGAAAGGAGGCAGTGGTCTTAAATTGAAAGTGAGTTACTACTGAACAGTTACCAGCCATGGTGAAGTTCCATAACTCAGATCTATGGATAGCCTGGATGGTCATTTTCTGCATGGAGGGTAAGTTATATGACACTTGGAAACGTAGTCTGTGCGCCAACTATAAACTGAAAGCGCCTGGTAGGTTAATGATACCACTACTACTATTACTACTAATACTAATACTACTAATAATAATGTTTTGTAACTTGGATAAGTCACCATGACCATATATGTCTATAACTGGTATAAAAACAGACTTGGAACTCTTGGAACCTGGAATTAAATTGTCTCTTGGGCTCTGCCTCTCCAAAAGCCATATGATCCCAGCCCTCCTTAATACTTTGTGTTTGGATCACGCTGACAAATCCCCGGCATTACAAAAAAATAAATAAATAATAAAAAAAGACTTTTCCGCCTTTTGCTAGTCGCTATCCCCACCGAACACTTTTGACTGTGCACGTCTTATCCATATGCGCACTGCTTAGTTTTCCTTGTGGCCACCTTACACAACCCGAGGTCTGATTTTCTTCTCCCCCCCCACACACCCGCTCCTTCTTTTGACCACTGATACACTTTAAAACGTGGTACAGTAGTGTCTGTGTTTTAAAATAGAAACGGAGCAGACGGTGGAGGGTTGCGCTGGTAATCCGCCCGATTAACGAGGAGTATGATGATCAGGCTGCACAGGAGAGCGAGCAGCCCCAAAGGAAAATCACTGGATGTTCCTATAGCCCTCCGATGGGAATTTTATTGTGTGCGTGCACAAATAGCAGTTATGTATATGTGTGCGCTTTTGTTTACCTTCCCTTTCTTCTTAGCGCAGCGGTGCTGTTATCCCTGCAGTAATTTAACAGTGTTCTCGCCGAGAGTGCCTGCAAGTTTAGTGAGTTTGTCACACTTGCTGCTATAAAATAAACCAAAGTTTAAAAATTTGAAAACAAGTCCTTGTGCGTCCTATTCAAGCTTTAGGTGAGACGAAGGAATTCATGAAAAACAAGATTAAGTTAACATTAAAGACAATATTAACAGCCTGCCGTTTATAGACTAAATATATTGCTGCAGATATGATGTGTCCCCACTGAATAAGGATGGATATGGTGCTCATATTAAAATTTCCTTTCACCTGAGGTCCACATCTTTATTGAAAAACACGTCAGAGCAGAGCAGAGACATGCTTGAATATTGACTGATTCCTCTCAGAGCTTCATGCAACATTTGCACTGAACCTTGCAACACACACACACACACACACCAGTCTGACATGTCAATTTGGACCGAAGAGTTGTGCAAGATTCAATTTAGCCCGATTCCCCAGGTGTTTTTACTCCGCTGCTTGCTTATTTGGCTTGTGGGTACCTCTGCGGTGAGTGGATGCGTGGCCTCTCATCAGCTTCACTCGGGTTACACACATACGTACACGCCCATGATAGTACATCGTGGACTGTGGTCACTCCATGTGTCTGTCCGGCTCAAAAGACCTCAGCTTTGCATTGACTTTAGGTTAAGTAACTGTAAGACCGATGTGAGTTCAGCATCTCTGTAACAAGACAACTTGCTCAGAGAGAAGCAGGACAGCCTTTCTTCTCTCCTTTTGCTGTCTTGCTGGGGAGCTGCCAGTGTTGCTATAAATAAATTCTGATGCAGCAAAGTCTGTATTGTTCATGGTGGCTTCTGTGTTTGTTGACCTCAACTTTTTCACGCCAAACATAGTCTCTAGGATGATGAGATCAGTCTTAATAGACATCAGATTGTTTTTGAAGATATTACACATGAGACTTTATACATATATATTAGTTTGTTGTAGTTTTGCTTCACACGTGTGGCAACAAAACCCCTACTTTTTGTTCAGAAGTGCCTTAGGATGTCCACAGAAAAGCATGAAAAATGGAAAAGCTTTAAAAAGCAGGAAAAAGCAACAGAAGGAAGTAAAATTCATGAGTTCCTCGGACAGGCATCAATCATGGCCTAGTTCGTGGCAGGGCCCTTCGTATTTCAGCATTAGTTAGAGGACATGTCGTGTCCTCTTCAGCCATCAGCGCTCCCCAGTTACACATAAATATTGTATCCCCTCTTCTCAGTTAGAAATGGATTCATCTCAACAGCAGCCTCGCAAGAAAAGTTGGGTTCGTCTGGATCTGCAGTGCTGGGATCATTTGAAGAAAGTTTCTAAAAGTTAGAAGAATGAACAGTGGAGACTCTATGCTGATAAACAGATTAGTTCAGCTGTTGTCACAATGAACACCCGTGGTGATACCAACACAGGGCCGCTCTGTTACCGTGCCCTGATTTAAAGATACACCCAGAACAGCCCTCAAGGGCGTAGCAGGGACAGATCCCGAGGTTCAGTCAATTCAGCAAATTGAATTCGAGCGGAGCTGGTGGCTCTGAACTTTTCAATTGCTTTTGTTTGGTTTACTCGCCTGCGTAACGCTTCCTATAGAATCCTTCAAGTTTGAATACACAGAAGCGCTCAGATTAGCCCGTTGTCTTCAGGTTTGGACCGAAGAGTTCAGCGAGAATAAGCGTTAAAAAGAGACAACATGGTCTGTTTCTCAGAGCTCATTGGCATTCAGGGCGTTCGTGCCTGCTTCAAAGCAGAACTTAGACCAATTCTCCTTCCTGCTCGCTCTGTGAGCTTGTTAACCTCTTGAGGCTCTGCTGAAAGTGGCGGCATCAAAGTTACACAGTGAGTCTGGTTTATCTGTCGTGTCGGTTGCTGCGTTTTGTCATGTTTGCAAGTCCACTTTCCAACTCAATCCGTCCCAGAAATTAGATTTCATCTACTTCCAGCAGGAGTACTCACCAGATCTGCAGACCATAAGACAACAACCTGTCTGGATGAAGAAAAGTGTGCTAAACAATGATATCTTTTTTGATTTTGGGTTATTGTTATACTTATTGCTCAAGTCATTTCCAGTCTCATCTTGTAGGCCTTGTTCTTTTTCCTGCCAGTCTTCTGTATCACCTGTTTCTGGTCCACTCATTATTCCTCCAAGTATAAAAACCTCCTATGTAGTTCTCCCAAATCGCCAGATTGGAGTGTTGTGTTCCTTAAAAGTGATTTTTGTGTTTTTGGTTTGCCTGCACCCTTGTGTTGTCTTTTCATTGCTGACTGCCATCATGCCCATGCTCTGAAAGCCCAGTAGTAAAGTTTGGAATGTTCTTCCTGGTTCCTTCAGTGCTATATTTGGATCCTTTCCTCGTTTGGACTCAGTCGCAATATTATCATCTTTTATTTTCATCAGTAATTACAGTACATTTCAATGACCATCAGGTCCAGTGAGAAACAACTGCATATTTACCAGAATGCCTTTTTTTGCCGCTTCAAATTGTCACCGTTTTATTTTGTTAGGCTATTTGTCTGCTAGTTAAAGCCAATGAGAGAGAGGAGAGCGGCAAGTAGTCCCTGAGATGTTATGCCAGTAGCAGAGTAAAGAACATGTAGGGGTGCCAAGAGTTTCCCGCTTAGTTGGTCAGGTACTAACTTAGAGAACACCTCTCTTGCTGCTGATGCAGATTTTTAAAAAAAAAAGCAGTTTGTGTCAGTTTCAGCCGTTAAGTAGAGATTTTTTTTCACCCCCTCTCCTCTTCTGCCTGCTGCTAAAAAGGAGCAGCTGGAACAAGAGTGTTGGACAGATGGAACTTTCCACCTCGATTATTTTTCCCGCTAAAAATAGCCTCTCAAAAAATTAAAAGACCTCCGGGACCGCTCGCAAAGTGCATGTGCGTGCGTGTACGTGGCCGCTTGAGCGACAGAGGCGCAGGGAACTTCAGACGACGTGGTCCTCAGATGATGGCAGCCGCGGCCATCCTGGGAGTGTGAATGAATAAATGATGGGCAGATATTTGGAGGAGAGAGAGAGCAGCATTTGCCCGGTCCCTTGGTCTCTTAAGCACACATTAAACTAGGCCCCCAAAGAATCCACAGGCTGCCTCTTGCTTGCACGGCAGTTGGCCAAGCATCTGGGGCAAACATCTGATGTGGTCACTTCACAGAGATTTGGGGGTTTGGAGCTTTGAGGTTTTGGAGTTGGTTGTACCTCTAATCACAGTGGCAAATGAGGAAATCACGAGGATGTAGTAAAGCAGGGTGATGCTGTTAATGCAGCAGTGCGATCAGTGGGGCTTTTTGTTGCATTTGGGTTAGATGGCGAAACGGAGTGTCGGGGAAATTGCGTGTCACTTAATAAACCAGAAGCTCAGCTTGTGGTCAGTGCCGTTGTCAAACTTGCTTTAGATTTGTGTTTGCCATTTATTACATGAAAAAAATAATAGGTTAAGTTCATATGTAAGCAGAGAAAGTGTGTGACTAAAGCTTTTTGACTTTTACTTTATGACACCTTGCAGCACTTGAAACAGTGGCCAGATTCATCTCCAGCCACAAGATCGTTGCTCTGAGCAAAGAGATAATCGTGGATGAAGTGCGACAATCGCGCCATTGTGAGAGCTGATATTAGTTTATGAGTCTTTGAAAAGGCAAGTCGGCTTCGTGACTCAAAGATGGAAATGAATCACTACAGTCTTGCAATGGGGCTTTTTTTTGTTGGTTTACAGGTGCAGAGGAGGTGATATCATTTGAAAAAGCTGGAAAAAAAAGACACAAAGTAATTCATGACTAAACAGCAGAACAAAATTTAATCTACATGCTCTATGTGTACGGCGCCTTCGTCTGTAACACACTGTGGCAGGTTGAGGCATTGGGATGAGAGCGTCTTTTAGCTTGATTTTCCTTTCGAGTGTGTGGGTGAACCCGAGGCTTATACATATTTAAGGCGGATGTCTTCCTCTTGTCGTGGCACCCTGGCGATCCTCTCCTTCAGGGCGCTACGACACGAGCAGTTTTGCTTTGCTGGCTCTTGAGGTTTTGACAGGGCTCCCGACTCGCTCGTTAAATAAGTTGCTCGGGAGTTGTTTGGAACATGTAGATACTGCGCTGTAATGACCACTTCTACAAAATTTTTTTTTAAAGATATCAAGTAAACTCATGTTTACTCATGAGTCAGAACGGCTGTAAATTTACGTAACTGTTGTTTCAAAAGCTCTGCATGTACAACAAAAGTGGGAGGAAAAAACTCGGT